AAATTGGCAGGCAAATGGATGGAACAAGAAGAAACCATTCTGATCAAGGTAACCCAATCACAAAAAGAGAAGCATGGTATGCACTCACTCATATATGGACTTTACACATAGAACAAAGTATTACCAGCCTAAAATCCACACCACTGGAGAAGGTAGGCAATAAGGAGGACTCAAAGAGAAACCTACATGGTCCCCCAGAGAAGGAGAAAGGGACAAAATCTCCTGAGTAAATTGGGAGTCTGGGTGAGGGGAGATGGGGCTAGGAGAATGAGAAGGGGAGAAAAGGAGGAGTGGGGAAGACATAAAAGAGCATGAAGTTAGAGTACAGGGAAAAACAGAAGAGAGCAAAATAAGAAATAGCATCAGAGAGGGAGCCAGTATAGGTTTAAAGAGAAATCAGGCATAGGGAAATGTGCAGAAATCTGAAAGCATGACAGAGGAGAGGCTAACTGTCAATAATCATGACAGTTATGATTACTTCCAATCTAATTCTTTGTCTTTCTCTTTCAGGCAACTCAGAAGAGAAGGGATTGGAAAGTATAAGAACTTGGAAAGTGAGTACAAAGAAAATGAAAAAAATATTTTAGAAAATGTAAAGGTAAGGAAGCATGAAGGCACACACCTTTAATCTCAGAATTTAATAACCTCAGACAAGAGGCTCAAAACACATTGGCCCTAGGTTTTGTAGAGAAATAATGGTTCAAAATGCCTGACCAAAAACAGAGACTTTGGAGCATGCTTGAATCCTAGCACTAGGAGGCTGAGGCTGAAAGGTGAATTTAATGCCAGTCTGGGCTGCATAGCATAACTAATGCCAGAATACTTTATGGTGTAAGGGTCAAGAAAGAAAGAGAGATTAGGGGGGAAGAGGGAGGCAGGGAGGGAGACAGGATGGGAGGGAGGGAAGAAATCTAGAAGTATTAGCAAGTACCTCCTGGAATTTACATATTCACTATGCAAAGCCAATGACCAGAAACTCAAGGGAAAAATAAAAGCTTATGAATTAATTTTTGTATTTGCCAGACATAAAACCTGGCAAATAACATAAACGTACTGCTAAATATAGATAATAAATATAGATTTTCCATTTCAAAGTACAAGAAAAAGACATTTGAAAAGATATATAGCTATTTGAAGATATAAATATGTTTAACCTGATCTAAATATCTCTAAATAAATAATATGTGTGAAGCCTGATGAAATGTCCATGAATGATACAATTTTATGTTTTTTATGTATCAATTAAATATTTTTTTAAATTGGCAGCTATTCTTGCTATAGCATTAAAAGGGGGAAACTAATGAAAATGTATACATAGAATTATGAAATAGGTCTAAGTGATTCTGAATATTCTGCTAGATCAGGGAAATTACAGAAGCCATGGAAAGTAGGACTCTCAGTAAGAAGGAAGACATTCAGATAAAAACCTATTTTCTTGTCTTGGAAATATAAGAATCATGAAAATTTGCATTATTTTTTTAATTTTCCCATTATGTATACTCACAAGCCTGTAATCAATCACATCCCTTAGGCAGGAGCACTGTATAATCTAAAAGCTAAAATTTGTTTACACTCAGAGTAAGGCGACTTGTAGAAATGTCTTACTACAAGGTCACAAAGTATGGGTAAGAGCTAACATTATTTTTCTTCTTCTCTCATATGTTACATTGAGACCCTCCACTTCACGCAGTTCTCTCCTGTTCTAACTCCCAGATCCACACATCCTCCATTTCCTTTCAGAAAAGAACAGGCCTATTAACATGACATAACAAGTTACAATAAACTTAAGTACAACTTATAGAATATATAATTAAATTTGTTACAAAACATAAAAGAATATAAAAGTGTGTTCCTGTTTCTAAACTGGTCAGCATGAGTGTCTTGTAGCCTTAGGCAAATTATGCAGTGTCATAATATATCAGAAAGCAATGCAAGAATCAGGGAGAATACACTGATAAAGCAGAAAGAAGGAAAGGAGGGAAAGATGGACCATGACAAGCTTTCCTTTGCAAACAGTGAATTTATAAGCCGCCATGTGGGCAGAAGATGCAGCTCTGAGTAGGGCTATACAGGACTTGACATTAAGTCCCCAGCCCTATATCAGTTAAAGGACAATAGGAACAGGAAGAGGACAAGGAGGAGGACAAGGAGGATTTCCAGGAGGATAAGGATGGATACATGCAGTAGGACAAGGAGGAACAGTCAGTAATCATTTTTTTTTTTTACTCAACTAATTACTGATTTGGGTAAACATGTGAAATTTAAGGCTGCTAAATAAACATTACTTGACAGCATGTACACACACTTATAAATCAGTCTGTCAGATGCTGACCTTTAGATAAGTAGTCAAGGTTACATCACTTGACACATTACTGATTTTGGAATATGTATGTTAAAAATAATCCGTATTATTCTAAATATGAATTAAAACTAGAGACTCTATGAAGTAATTATAATTCTACTTTATAATACAAAGGAACTATCCCTGCAATAGTTCCTCATGATTAACTCCTGGAACAGAACAATAGTTAAAAAAATGGCTATGAAATACTTTTGTGGAAAAATTATGAAATTTGGATTATATTATCGCGTAATATTATATGAACATTACATATAATTTAATGAGTGAGGTTGTTTTAGGGTGATTACTTAATAGTATATCATTGTCATTTGAATGTGAGTTCATAAATCTTCAGGATGTTTTAATTGACTAGTTCTCCATATATTTACTTCGATTATATGCCTTCAGGATGAATGTCTTTCTGCTCACTATGAAAATAGATTATCTTGTTGAATATTTTCAAGGTAAATATATATATATATATATATATATATATATATATATATAGAGAGAGAGAGAGAGAGAGAGAATTTTTAACACAAGCCATGTATGTTCACAGGTTCACACCTCTAATACAAGCAATCAGGAGGCAAAGGCAGGCATAAATACTTGAGTTTGAGGGCAATTTGTAAGACATAATTATTTCTAGGCAAGCCAAGGTCTATGTAGGAAAAACATGAATAGGAAGAAAAGGAAGGAGTGGGAAGGAGAGAGGGAGGAAGGAAAGAAGGAAGGAAGGAAGAAAGGAAGGAAGGAAATCCGGATAAATGAGTAGAATGGATACTCTAGTGCACTGGAAATTGAGAAATATCAGAGAGGTAATTAATTTTTAGGTTTAGTCCTGGAATACATTTATATCAATAGCCAATGGATTGAAACAGTCACATTAGAAACAATCAGCACTACAAAATATAATGCAGTCTGCCTGAAAAATATACTCAGAGATGTAATACTTGTATGATCATTATGGGAGTAACATCTGAAGATTTAGAGCAAGGAGAATTTACAACCTTCAGTTGTATACTTAAGGGTACAGCCACCAGGATTCAATGGAAAGTCCCAATCCAGTGGTTACATAGATGGCACTGACTGAACAAAATTGGTCAAACTATAAAACAAAAGTATATGAACCTAGGAAAAGAACAGGTAGGGAAGAAGGATTGCTGGAGATGGGAGGGTGATAGGAAAGGGTAAGGAGAGATAGTTCATAGAATGTATATATACATAAATGAAACTGACAAACAACCAATATAGAGAACAAACTCCTTTGAAAGGAAACGGTAAATCATCCACATAGCGTGAATAGTTAAAAAATTTAACAGGTCACATACAAAAGTCATAATCCAAGGAAAAACTTCAGAGAATAGAAATTGAACTTGTGTCAGGGATGGTAGCCAATGACTGCAATCCTAGCACTCTAGAGGCAGAGGCAGGCAGAAGGACAACCATGGAGGCCAGCCTTGTCAAGTAAATGAGTTCCTTACTAGTCAGGACTGCATAAGGAAGCCTATCTTAATAAACAGTCTTGATAGTGAAAATGTAAACTACAGAGTAAGAAAATAGTCTTCAAAATATTCATAATCAAAACATAAAATCAAACACATATCATTAAGAAAAGAAAATCTACTATAGAAAATAATAATAGTAGTACAGAGATTTAAAGAAATATTAAAAGAGGCTATCTGATGGTTATTAAATATTAAAATAGAATGTAGCACAGCTATCAGGAAAATAAAATTTAAGCTCTGAGATACTTTGGTCATATGCACAAAACTGGCTAAAATTTAAGAACAAAAATACTCAAATAGGAAATAAAATAAATGGGAACTATTTGTAAAGCTATGTGAGATAAATTGCTACAACTTGTAATACTGCCATTCCACAGAAATTAGACAACTCCATCTACATAAAGAACAGTATATTTGGATGTCTTCTTGTGCCTGTATTTTCTTTTGTATGGAGTTGGGGTCCAGGATCCCTTGTAAATACATGGTAACATGTGCCTTTACCTTACTCATTTCCTCCCAATAAACAAAATCTTCAGGAGATGTCTTGTGATATGTAATACAATAACTGCAGAGCTCAATCAAAGTCCATGGCTATGAGCATCAATATAAATTCACTGAACTACTTCCTTAAGAACATCCACCAATGAAACTTGCCTATGGTCACATGCAAATTGTGTGTACATCTAAACAAACTGGTGAGATAAAGAGTAAAGGTGAGGTATACAGAAAGACACACATACCAGGAAACTCAAAAATCCACAAAATTACCCTTGATCTAGGATTAAACTAGTGACAAATGGAAAGAGAGCAAGAGAATTCTGATAACTGTTCAGATCAGGACCTGTGATGGATGCAGAGTGCCCACTGTGACAGCTCATCTGCCCAGAAAAATGACTTGAGTAAGTTTCTATTGTAATGTGTTAATAATGTTATAATGTAAACAGAATTCAATATATGGTTAAGAGCTTTGGAAAATAAGGAAAATAACCTTGTGGTAACAATGTTAAGTGTAAAACTACTTTCTATAATTTTATAAAAGTTAGGGTCAGCTAGTTAACTAGAAAATTCTTGAGTGATCCTGTCCCTGTAGAAGCATGGTATCCCATGATATCATGTGGAACAAATCATATGAAAACATACTCTCCTCATACCTGTGCTTCTTGCTGTTTAACTTAACTTCTTTAATGACGCTAAATGTGTCATCAACTTCTCCATCCGTAAAGACAAAGAGCTGGAAAAAATAAGCATTCATTGAGATTTTATCACAGGTTCATCAAAAGACAACAGCATTGGTCCTGTCTAGTCTATGTAGCTTCTTCACACAGGGGTGGGGAAAACTGTGTTCTGCTGTCACTTGCTCCACGCTGGCACACAGACTGTTCAATAGAAAGATTACACAACATGGAAAATTTCAAACCTTTCATATGCATCTTTCATCTTAAAATTTTGTGGTAGCACAAAAGAGGGCTGACTGCCTGCCCCATGGAATAGAGTTAAAAAAACTGCCTCTGGTCTTTTTCTCTGCACTGTATGGTAGATGAATTAAGTTTACATATTATTTACAAAACTGTATATGGGAGAACTGGGGATCAGGTTAGTGGAAATTTTCACTATTCATCCCTACTAGCTTGGTTCCAAAGCTCACCTGTAATGGATGCTCAGGAATGGAGGGTCCCTTGTAAATGTTGAGGAGTGGTGTCAAGATTTCAGTGCCCCCTAGGTCAGCTTTCAGATCCTTCACTCTTTTCACTGCCTCTTCCATTGTTTCCTGAGTGTACTTCACACTCTCCCTTAGAGAAACAAGCATGTCTAGTCACATGGCACTAGCACACTGCTATTCCCATCACAAAAAATTACTACCACAAAAATTGCTGCTGAAAACATCAATGCACAGGACTACTCTGCACTAGTCAGATTAAAAGTTAAAACGATTCTTTAAGGTACATTCTTTTACATTCTGCTGTCTTCGTAGAAACTCACGGAAAGAATTTTTCATAAGAAGATCCAAATCCATAGATGTTGAAATAACAACCCATAGGTAAACTCTTCAGCAACAGCAACAGAGTTTCCTGATGGTGAGAGAAGATGAGGAGGTGGAGTGAGAGAGATCTCTACACAACATACTGACCCCAGTCTAGTTACTCATGGTATAAAAAGTCATCATCTCCTGCCAACTTGTATTTCAAGGCTGAGATCACAGTGACCATGCTTGTTATTTCTCAGATGGAGAACAGACCTGCAGCTACAAATGGGCCCTATTCTTGCCTTTTCCCAATCATCCATAACTTGAACTGCTGAGGAATGAAGAATCTGGCTTTACCTTGGCAGCCTCTATGCGTAGCTGAGAATCATTGTGGTGGCTCAAGCGGGATCCCATACTTCCAGAGCGGTCCATGAGGAATATAAATTCTCCACAGGCCCTTGAACCCTCCACTTCTGGGAGATCTGGATAGAAACTCACCATTGCAGAAGGAGAACCCATCAAACTGTCTGTACACAAAGCAGAAGAACCCTGTAAATTACAAGGAAACTTAGGTGTCCTTGAGTTACCAAGACCCATTTCTCACTTCAATAGAGAAATGTTAAGCTCAAATATAAAACCATTTGTTTTTGCTTCTTGTGCTATGTGCACAGGAGTAAATGTGAATTTTCAGCATAAAAGAGAAGCAGAACATAGGGGAGAGGAAGTAGAAAAAGGGCAGGAATTAAGAGACAATAACACAGGAGTATCTGTGTGTGGAAACTAGGTGTCTGAACAATTGAATAGGACACATCAGCTAGCAGCTTCCAGCATGAGCTAAAGGTACTGCTAAGATTACTAACAGAGGGAAATATCCTCAAATCTTTGTAATAGGAAGGTGACCACATGGATCATTGTTTACATCTTAAATTGAACCTTTGTGTGATAATGATGCTCATATATTTAATGCTAAAAATGGCAAATTCCAAGAGCAGACTACTTAGGAATGATGCCTTAAAAATGGGTGAAAACATTATACATAAGAACCATATCCTAACCTTTATATATGCAGCTTATGTAAGAGTAGCATGTTTTTTTAATATCTAAAGTAGATTTCTTGTCACCCTGAGAGACAGGTGGTTATCATGGCACTAGCACTCTTCTGAGAATCCAGAAAGGCATGAGAGTGGTAGAAATGGATTTCCACAGTTTAGAAAAAGGTCCTGTATGTAGTGGTCAGCACTCCATGTATGATGTCTACTAGTTCTTTCAAATCAATTCAAGTGATTTCACTTTGATAAATCAGAACTTCCCTGTTTACAAATGAGCACCTCAACTTCTTAGACTCAGTTTCCCATTCTCACTTAACAAGGTAGTAATTCTTATTATAGTAAGGTCAGGTGATCCAATATGCTCACTGAGTTCAGGGTAGGGCTTAACTCACACTGACAGGTTAATTATAATTTTATACATTTTTTTAAATGTTGTGTAATTATACATTCTTAGATTAACATATCATTTAGTCCACATAGTGCTGTGTATCATGATCACATTAAAGGCTTTCGGTGAGTCAAGCTGCCTCTTCTGCTTCCCTTGTGCTTCTAAAGTCTTTGTGAACTGGAAGTCATCTGGCAAAATATGTGTCCAGGGAAGCAGGAACTGGGAATCATAGATTGAAAGAATTACCAAGACTGAGATATGACCAACTATGTCCCCTGATAGCCTGCAAATCTTGTCACAGTAAAGACATGAGAAAATCTTCCTGGACCCAAGGAAATGTCACAGAAAGGGAGAAATTGAGACCTAGGTTATTACATGTTAATTTGCAGTATCTTAAAGTTCTATATCATGGATAAAATATATTCCTGACTGAAGACCAAGTCTGAGTTTCAATATTTCATAACACCCAAAAAGAAATTCTAAAAATCACCAACAAATACAGAGCATAGAGTAATAGGGAGATGAGAGTTACCAGAAACCCAGGGAAGCTGGGATTTCCTCTTAGTGACCTCAGAGGGGAGAGGATAGACAGTGAAGGGAGAAAAAAAAGCCCCTACATGTGTTTCACTATGAAGTCACCTTTGTCAAATATAGATAATGTTATATTGGTTGATGTTAGGTATGCAAACCCAGCTTCACAGTAAAGTCCTCACAGTGCGTAGAGTTCCAGAAGCAAAGCCCAAGCCCAGAAGTCACACTGTGAATATGGTTGGCTCACAATTAGCTTCCATATATACAACCTGGAAATAAATAGGGGTAGTGCCTTCTTGGGTTGGGTGATGTTCCCTGCAACCAAGTGCAGAATCGCCATAAAATCCAACAAAAACAAAACATTCATGCGTGCTCTACCAGCTTTAAATATATATATTCG